TTTTTTATTTTTTTTTTTTGTTTTTTTGAACATTTTAGTTTTTATTCCCGGTGCACTCAAGTGCATTTTCTGGCGTGTTATGCATTGCACCGAATGCACGAAAGCACAAGGTTTTAGTTCTAGACAGTGGCGGTTTTTGTAAAGAAGCTGCGGTTAAGAGAAAGGTCACGACACACGTCGAGTTGCTTGTAAGTATAATTGTATGTTTTTGTGCTCGTTTCGTGTTATGGTTGTAATGTATGGCGATATTTACCAATGATTTGTTATGTTTATGCAGAAGCAATCGTTCTCGAAATATCTAAGCGAGAGGAAACTGGTGAGGTTCTCCAAGGTAGTTGCTATGGCTATGCCAGAAATTGTCAACCCGACATGGACGGATGGGGTCGATTTGGTAGATAGTGGGGTGGTCACCATGCGTCACATGGAGACGTTCAAAGGTGTTGTTTCGAAAAGTTGGGATCCTCAAATAAAGAAGGCGGACAAGGCACAGATGAAGTTGATGAGGAAGCGTTATTGCTATGTCATAGCCTGCGCTCCGAACAACAACCTGAAGGAGGCCAACATGGTTGCAGCTGAGGCGTTTCACCCATTGTACTTGAAGAAGAAGCTTGAGTGTGATGTTGCTCATTGAGTGAACGGGGTGTACGAGATTTGCTGTCGGGTCTAGTGACATGCTATAATTGCTTATGACTAAGTACAATGTGTTTTCTTTGTTTTGGGTTGTCGTAACCGTTTTGTGTGATTAGGCTATGTTGTGTTTTGGGTTTTAGACACATTCCTAAACGATGGTTTTTGTGGGTTTTTGTGGCATGTCCGTTGAAATGAATTCGCGGTAGTAAATATATTATGTTGTCTGGTATTATATGTATCAGCGTTTGATGACGTCTTCAGTTGCATACACATCTCCATACATGTATATTACCTTTTTTTTTTTTTTTTTTTTTTTTTTTTTTTTTTTTTTTTTTTTTTTTTTTTTTTTTTTTGTTTTCTGTTCCACCTCTTAATGTGCAAGCTATTCAGATATATTGTGTTGTGATATGCATACTAATGTGCAACCCATATGAGATCTTACATATGTGTGGGTCATATGGATTATTATTGTGCAATAATACATAAGTTATTGTTCAGTGTCGTATTCAATAGTGTGCAATCGTTTCAAGTATTGATACAGACTCTTTTTTTTTAGTATTATTTTTATTTGTTTCGGTCTCTTAATGTGCACGATATCCTCGACTGTACTATCGTGCCGTAGGAACCATAATAACGCGCAACATTTATGTAGTCGTGTATACTTCTGTTGGAC